TAACTGCCAGTGAAATAGATTTCTTAAATTAAAATCCCTTTAAACAAATGCAATCTCTGTTTAAGTGTATTGTTTAATATTAAACAATATATCAGAATGGATGTCTAATGCAGTCCATTTCATTCTGTCCCAGGTACTTTGACTTTTCCCTTTCAAGGCCTATTTACATGAGATGTCCAGCGCTAACCAACCACCAAGAATAACAAAACAAAATAATAACAAACTCCCCACACTTTAGATACTCTGTCCTCTTGCATTTTGCAAGTATTCTCTCCATGGTTCCAGAGATAAAAGAAGTATAGTTTTAAATATCAAATGCAAATAAAATAATTCATGAGAAACAACATATTTTCTTTTTTCTTCACTCTGGATTAACAGATTACAAACCTGTAATTTCTACTCAACAAAAAAAGTGAAAAAAGAAAAGGGAAAAAAACCCAACACAACAAGAAAGCAAGTATCTTAAGAATTCAGCTCTATAAGAAAATTTTAAACCCATAGATTCATTTGATTTACTTGCACAGAGTAGAATTTTACAGAAATCATTAAATAATTAGAGATTTTAGCTTTTTTAAAAAATACATACATTTCCAAATTCAGACTTAACCTTCAAATTCTACAGGTTTAGTCAAACACCAGCATATCTAATATCAAAATGAAAAGTCAATATTGTTAATGTATGACCTTATGAAGGGTAACATACCTAGCTGTCTTAATTATTTACAGAATGCTTAAAGCACTGTTTTAACAAAAGGACATATAAACCAAGATCTGAAGCTTGAAAGATTACTAGCACAAACTTGTATAATTACCATTTAAAAATCATAGAATTTTAGTTTGATGTTGAAGTCTGATGAAACAGTGAATATATATAAGAATAATCCAATATTATTTCCACTTTAATGACCCTAAAAATTGCAATTAGCTGCTAAATGACTGGGGATTGCTAAAAATACATATACATATGTAGAAATATTTTTTCTGGAAAATCATTGTACAGGCAATACCTAACCCTGTAAGGTACACAGTGTGCCTCCCTTCCAAGCTAGAGAAGCCTCAGTGATCACACCTGCAGCAGTGCAGCCTTCCTTCCAGCAAGGCCCCGCTGCTGCCACACAGACCCCAAGGGAATCCCGTTCAACATTCCCTCTCAAGGTTTGGATGCTCCAACTGCTGCAGTCACACACAGCAAACACAGCTGTCACAGCATTTCCAGCGTACAGGAAGACAAGACAGCAGAGCAGTTTGCTAAAAACTCAGCCATTGACCAAATCAGCACCAGGGAACTGTATGAGACTCTCAGGCACTTCCCAGAACTGAGAAGAAAAATGGAGCAGGGTGGGGTAAACACTTCCCTACGGGAAGAAAGGAATACATCTCAAAAGAATAAAATCTATGAAACCAGAGAGTTACATTTGCTTCAAGAAATATACTGCAGCAACATAACAATGAAAGGCAGATTACCTTTGCTCACACGCTGCTAAGTCCCAAGATACGAGACTTCAATCTTTACCATTCTTCTTAGCATTTCTAAGCAAGAATAGTATTTCTTACTACTTAGAGGTCTCCTAAAGGCTTTAACTTCTACTAAAAAAACCTTATACCTGTGACATGCATAAATGTGTCACATATTGTATTTAAAAATAATTTAACCAATTCTGATTTAGTCACCTGAATTTCACAGAATTTTCTCTGGTTCCCAAATTACAAAAAAGGATGAATGGAGCCAAACTGAACCAGATCAGAGAACCAGACACAGGACACTGTCCTGAAGTGGCAAAGAGCAGTTATCTAACGAAAGAGTTTCAGAAAACAAACAAACAAACAAACAAAAACCCAGAAAAACAACAACAACCCAAAAAAACCCACAAAAACAAAACAAAACAAAAAAAAAACCCAAAACCCAAACCACAAGAAATGCACTTCCCCCCAGCATTCCTATAACTGATCACTAGCCTAGCATTCAAGAGCTTCCCAAGACAAAAATCATTTATTGTAACTTCAGATTTGGTAGGCCTTAATAGATGTTTTTTCCTAGACTTTCTCAGATATGTTTACGTACTTTTCACCCTCTGTCCCTGTACAAAGGAATTTTAAAGCTTCCAGTGTCTTTTCATAATCAAGTTTTACTCTCATCTGAGTCATTCCCATATCTAAATCTTCTATACACTGACTATAGCAATCAGACTCCTAAAGCTGCAATGGTATTTGATAAAATGGTATGTCACTGCTTCACAAAAGATACAAAATTTTCTATATATCCTTATGCAGACTCATTTGCATTTTTTACTAAATTTAACCTGAGTTGTACCAATGACAGGATACTTTCCTAAAAGAATACAAATCACTGCACTCTAAGTTATTTTGTAAAAGACATTTAAAAGATTCCATCTAATGAACACTACTCTTAATTTGTTAAAAATAACAGTCACAGGCCTTTGTGCTATTGATCCATTTAGCTCCATATTAGGTGCTTGATATTGTTCAGTCTCTTCTGATCCTTACCAAAAGTGGCATTGTAATAATTTAAATATTTTTAGATTATATGGTGCCTGACTTACACTATTGCCTTGGAGGATGCAACTCTCAGTCTTGTACCATAATTAAATTTTTGAGATTTCTCTTTGGCTAGCAGACAGCCATCAGTCCATACTTCACAAGCAGGTACCTCTATTCATGACTCTTCTATTATTTTGGCTTACTGGAAAACTGCTGCTTTGGATGCCTTGGTAAAATAGCAGGAAAACAAACCAATACTCCCTTTCCTCCTCTCAAGTCTTAACCATGAAACTAAGGCCATACCTGTTTTTTGTAGTTGACCAAAGACTAAAATGTACAGCAAAAAAACCTGAAAAAACAAACTCTGGTCCAATATGCTTTGAAGGCCTACTGAAAGTATTCTACATTAAAGAACAAGAGAAAATTCTCTCCCTTCTCCTGGACATGAAACTGCAGAAAATTCTCTTCTGGATAGTCTTCCAGTCTCCTGCGTGCAGAGGCTAAGAGCAATAAATGTTTCCTTCAGGAAGATGCTGAACACAGCTGACCTGAGATTTCCTGCCTTATCCCCTCAGACAGTCTGTTGGCAATAGCTAACACGGCTCTCTCCTGGACACATGGGAAATATGGCGATTATTATTCTAGGGGAATGGTCACTTCTCGTGCTCTACAGTGGGAAAATGTATGGAAATACCTTACTCTTCTGCTCTAAAAAAGGCCTTGTTTTCATATTTCATGCACCTAAGAATATCAGCATAATGACAAAATCTTGTGGATGTATCCAAAAGAGACAAGCTGAATAGCATTGTTACGCCTTTCCCTAATTACACAGTCACTCACACACTGTTCTCCCAAACTTGGAAAAAGGATGTGTGGGAGCTGTGCTTCAACAGCTGAGATACACACAATGGGGGGGGGGATGACGACATGAAAACATCCCCAGATAATTTAATCTGTCCTATAGCCAGTAAAGAGAAACCTTAGATTAGATAAGAATGTCTGCTTGACATAGCTTATGCCTTGCAACTTACAGAAGTAATTCAATTATTAAGAAAGCTGAAGAAAAAAAAAACATTGTAAATAAATTGCAAGCAACATAAATGCAAAATCTAGAACAGATCAAAATCGGAGTGTTTTGCAGACTAAAGCAAAACTAGAAATATTCAACATACTTTAGCCAGGAAATCTGAATTCAGAGGTATTTAGTTTCTTTAGAATGTTTTTTCCGCTTACGTTTCAACCGAGCTAAAAACCAACGCAGAGCAAGCCACAGCTGGCCCAGTACAGCTAGTTGGGAAGAGTGGTACATTCTGAGTGAGGCAAGGGGATGCATCTGACTTCTGAAGTCGCTTAGATAGCTACACATCTATTCTCCATTTCAAGTCTAGATAATTACTATGTTGCAGAAAATAACTCATGAAGCAGCAGATGGTGCAACATGGGAACACCTGTTCCTTTAAACACCAATACAAAATAAGGGAGCAATAGCCGTTTTCCTTTGAAAAGAAAGAATCCAGCTTTGGAGGACAAGATACATAAATACCACCAGACTGTGGGCAGAACCCAAAATAATCCATTCAGCATTCTGTGCTAAACACGGAATGCAGTTGCCCTTGACCCAGCCCTGTTCACGTGTTGATAAACTGTCAGAAGCAACACACACATTCCCAGGACTGGAGCGCCCAAAAGATACTCCAGAGCAAGCTTCTTTTTTCAAGGACAGCTTGATGACAATGACTTAGATTTTTACAAACACATGCAACTAACAGATACCTTGAAATGGTTAACTAGGTTTGTTTTTGCTTCCCCTTGGTTTTTTTCATTAGGCAATTATGCCGTATAATCACAATTTCTAATTCACTGGTCAGGTTAAATGGCAGCTCACATGGAACTGCAGCAGCCCTTCAGGGCTTGTGTGTCCTCCTTTACCAACTAGCAAACCAAAAGTGTTTTAAATCTGGCTGTATAGAAGCTCCTTCACATCTACGCTAGTGAGCAATTAATAGTGTAGCTCTTACCTTGAAAATGTACACAAATATAAACTGGTACTGTAAGATCGTAAGGGAAATGGATTCAGGAGTTACAGGCACCATTTGCGCTCGCCAGCCACTTTTATTCATGCGCAGCAACTTAGCACTTTGTGTATTCTAGAGAATAATTCACACGGGAAGAACACCACTTTTTCGCCTCCTTCCACAGTTCCCAAAGAAATGCCACGATCAGACGGAAGCGTCCGTGTTTGTGTCAGTACAAAAGCGCCGGGAGAAGCATCCCGCGCCGCGCCCGCGGGGTCCCGCAGCCCCCGGCACATCGCTGCAGCCTCGCCCCGCCGGGCCCGCCACGCCGGGCGCGGGTCTTTCCCCGCTCGCCGGGTGGGTTCTCTCGCCGGGGCCGAGCCCCGAGTCCGCCTCCCGCCCCAGCTGCTCCCTCCAAATTCCCGGTCTTTCCCACGCCGGGACCCGCGGCCCCCGCTGACCCTTCGCCCCTCCCGGCCGCCTCACCGATAAGGACGCGGAGGTGCTTGAGTCGGGTCAGTGGGTCCTTGCGGGTGTCCAGCACCTTCTGCGTGGATTTCCGCACGTCCCCGTGCGGCTTCTTGGAAAACATCCCGCCGGGCCCGGCCTCGGGCCCGGCCCCGCGCCGAGCTCCAGAGGCGGACAGCGGCCTCCGGATCTGCCCGCTCTGGGGCCCCTACATAGCCAGAGGCGGCAGCGCCGCCGCCACCTCCTCCTCCTCCGGCCTCCGAGTGCGATGCGGCGAGGGCGGAGGGGCGCGGCGCGGAGCCAACTCCCCGCGGGCCGGGGGGCCGGGCTGGGCCTGGGCTCCCCCTTCTTCCTCCCTCGCTTTCCTCCCGCTGCTTCACGACAGCCGTCAGGTACGACCCCAGGCGTCCCCATGGCAACCGCGTCGCGACGTCACGGCGGCGCGGCCCCGCGCACCTCCGAGGCGCGCCGGGCGGGGCCGCGCCGGCCGCGCTCACCCGGGGCCCCGGCCGGGGATGGGGAGCGACCGCCGGAGCAGGGTACATAGGGGCTCGCTGCAGCATCCTCTGCGCCGCTCGGCAACAGTAACTGGCGTAGGAAACTGTACTTCTGCTGTTTGTAGGTGAAATATAAGCCAGCTACTCTGGCTGTACAGAGAAACTGCAGGGTAAGGGGGCAATTCTGTGAGCACTAAGGAAATAAAATCCAGGTGGGGACCGTATTCATCACGGCAGCGACTCCAAACCTTTTACTCAAGCCTCAATTGTGCAACCAGCAACGATGTGTCTCATAGTTCCTCTTTCCACACTGAAGCTCAAAGTGCTGCAACTCCTCACGCCGAGCTCCTGCCCGAAGCTGCTTCTCCCCGATTTCACTGCCTACACCTTCAGCTGCTGGCATCGAGACCGAACCATCAGCACGTCTGGGGCCAGCAGGTCTGAGGCATCCTCATTTCTTCTGCGCTCTGTCAGGATGGTCATGTCCCTTCTACTCCTACAGCAAAGCCAGATGAGCTCAAGAGAACACGTTTGGCTCAGTCCCATGCACAAACTCACAGCAAGGCCAACAACAGCCAGGGAAATGGATGAGGTGCCATAGCAACTCTTGCTGAGGATTGAATTACTATCATTGAAAAAGTTCCAAGTTTCTCCTAAAAGTTTGTTTGAATTAATGAGATAGAGAATTCTTGGACTTTCCAAAAGACATCTGCTGTAGTATCATTTAAGACTCTTTCCAGAGTCTCTTTGCTTGGACATTTTTAAACACTCGCTGGTGCTCTGTTTTGGATTGAGGATCACTTCTGTGAGCTAAGAGTCTGATTGGAACAGCTGGAGTTTTTAATATTGGAAATATTTCATTATTTGAGACTTGTTTTAAAATTCCAAGAATTGTCAAAATTTACAGACCTGTCACATAAATAACATAACCCAAGTGTTTAAAATAATGATGAATAACAGTTAATGTTAAGCACAAGGGCAGTGGGAACACAGTCAGCAAGGCATCAGTGAGGGACTCAGTGTTGTCTGCCTGCTTATGTGGTCTCCCCCAAAGCATTTCAAATATTCTACCATTTCTGTAAATAAGATCTGAAGATTAGCAATGTTAGGTAATATGTAGTATTACAATTATTTAGTTTACTATAACACAGTACATTTTAGCTTTCTAGGATCTGACAATAATATATCAATTAATGTGCTCTGATTTCTAAATTTCATTAATTCTAAACACAATTCTGCATATTGAAAAACTTTGAGATATCTTTTCTTTGTATAATTTGTTTGCTTTTCCATTAATTTTTAGATCTGTAACTCAATATGAGATTAAAAATAATAGAGCAAGACATCACTAAAATATTAAATGACAGGAGGGAGTGGTGTTAACCAAGATAATAATGGCTTCTATAGATAACCTCCTTGTGCAGGCACACCAGGCAGGAAGGGCATGTTCTGTGCACAGGAAAAGCCATGATCTTGCAAAGGCTTGACTTTGAAGCATGTGATTTCTGTTCTTTGAATATGCATGAAGGACAAGGTTAGAAAAGAGCAGGATTAGTTAGGCAGAGGTTAGGTTCTGCTGCATTCCAGGCTGTGATTTTTGTGCCCAGTTGTTGGCATTTCCACTTTAAAGAAAGAACTTTTAAAATGTTTCTGTCTAGATGCAAGGGGACTGTCATAACTAAGTTTAACTGAACTTTTAGAGCAGTATTGTAGACAATTAAATGCTGCAGAACTTTATTTCCTCCTTCTATTAGCTGTCATCAAGCCTGACAGCTTTCAGAAAGCATTTGGATAATTCTCTCAGGCACATGCTGTCCCTCTTGGGGATGGTCCTGAGCAGGGCCAGGAGTTGGACTTGATGATCCTGGTAGGTCCCTTCCAACTCAGCAGATTCTGTGGTTCTGTGATCTCTACAGGGCCCCATAGGACACTTAAAGTAGTAGGGGGCTATTGGATCACATTCATACCATAAAAAAACTTCTCCCAGTTTATCGAGGATTTATGATTTCCTAAGATTTCAGCTGTTGCCAAATACTTCAGAAAACATACAGGTATTTTTTAATACATCCTAGAGAGCACAAACCCTTCAGCTGTGGCGTAATTCAACAGTTCAACATGCCAAATGGATAGATTATGTTTTGAGTTCTTGGATACAGCTACAGATATCTAAGATTCTGGAAATCTTGCCTTACTAATATTTACACCACATAAGGGTACGTGATTAAAAGTGAGTTAAAATTACTCAGATTTTCACTAAGTATTTCCCATCTTTTGGGTAGCTAGTATAGATCTTAAACTTGACCCCTTTGAGGTGTATGCACTGAAGACCTATTTGCCCACATGGTCCTTCAAGAAAAGAAGAAATTCAAAAGAATTTTTTTAAAGTGTCACTGCTTCTGATCTTTTCATATTTAGCTTCACAGTGTCCTTCCTATGAGGGTTGTCTTGCTTTTGAGAAAGAAGGCTTTAAATTGTGCTGTGGCCCTTGATTGGAGGGGTGTGCTGTGAACCTCTAAGTACATGGCTTAGCCTGTGTAGCAGTATTCCTGTTCATCGTGAATAACAAATTTTTACTTAATTGGCAGCTATTTACTTTATGAAAAAGGCCCCCAAAACTAGATATTTAAGTTTGAGTACTCAAAACCACAATTGTACAGTTCTGTACAATTTAATACTCTTGTGTAACATATTGATACTAGAGATGTTTGCTACTTTCACCTAAGCAGTCAAATATCAGGATCCTCTAATATATTTCTAGTATAGTGATAATGGAACAGCTAGCTGTCCCTTCAACAAAATCTTCCTATGAAGATGATGGTTCCATGAATGCCCATTGCATTTGCACAACTCTGTATCTCACAGATGAAATCTGGAATTTATATACTTCTGTGTTTAAGGGAAGGAGCTTTTCATGAGCTTATACTCTGCTTTTGTGTCATTAGCAGTATATCAGCATTAACACTCTGTGATATACAAAGCCAGAACACTGCAGTCTTTCCAATCATCAAAGATCATAAGTTTGAATAAATTTTTCCAAGAACTACAGAACTGATGAAACCAGATTTCCTCCAAGTTTGTATTCTAGCCACTGAAAGCCATGAGTCAGCTCCCTTCACAACCATAAGCCTTCCTCTGTTTAGTCCTCCCCTACCTGTTCTGGATGGGCTGGACTGCAGTTAAGTCTTAACTACATGTGTAGGTTGTCCCATCCTCAGTCCAGGGAGATACCTTCTGTCAGTGGTCCACTGAGTCTCACAGTATGACTGATAAAAATCACATCATCCCATTGTGAGATGCTCTGCCTAGGGGGAGGAGCAAAGCATTCCTACCTGGATAAAATCTGAGATTTGGAACACCAGGAGAGCTTTTTTCCACTGGATTCCCAGAGGAAGATCAGGCCCATTCTGCACCAGCACTGGACCTGCAGAGGAAAACCCTAGCCTTAACAGGATCACTGCTTCAACAGAACCACACCTGTCACTGCAGGAGGACTGCAGCCACCATTTAATGGGACTGCTACCAATGCCCTGACTACCAGGGTGTCAGGTGGTATTCTGAATGTGTCAGTGGTTTTTTTGTATTGCTGCATTTTTATTTTAATTTTCCTAGTAAAGACTTGTTATTCCTATTCCCATATCTTTGCCCGAGAGTCCCTTAATTTCAAAATTATAATAATTTGGAGAGATAGGGTTTACATTTTCCATTTCAAGAGAAGCTCCTGCCTTCCTTAGTAGACACCTGTCTTTTCAAACCAAGACACTGTCCCTTGGACAAAAGCTAACTGAACACATATCCCTCTCTGGGACATTACTAGGTTTTGTTCCAAATGCTGTTTCACAAAACATGCAGAAACTTGGTATCTTTAATACTCATGCTGTCATGTAATATAAGATCAAAATCAGACAATGGCTTCAAAAGTAGAGGGAGAGTGCAATTGAAAAAAACCAACAATAAACCTCAAACGAACCAAATAAACCACCAAAACCAACAGACAACCATTACCTAAGTTTTGTTTCCTTAGCATGCTAGGACTGTGTCAGCCATGCTCAAAAAACAGAAGGTGTAAAGGACCTGTCGTGACCAGAAACTTTCATACATGTAGAAGTTATTTAAAACTGGTGTAATCATTACTAATTCCTGGCCAGCAGTGCCAGAGAATTTAGACTTTTGCTATGCAAAGTCACCTCCAACTCACAATGTTTGAGTTCTAATGTAAGCACTAGCACCCATATCTGATAGGAAAGAGCTTTTGAAATGTGAATACTCTGACACAGTGGAAGTTGCAACAACTTTTAACCAAAAGTACTCAAACACTCTACCACTGAGATGTTTTATTTTTCTTTCCCAACTTCTGAAATAGTTTTGCAATATTGACAAATGCACAAAAGAAACCCTGCACGTCTGCCAGCCTCTAGAGGAGAGAGAATTTTGTACAGATTATTTCCTTTATATCAAAAGAAATAGTTTGCCCCGATCTCTCCTGTTATGTCACCTGCAGGAGGAAAATGGATATTTCAGAAATAGGTTATATATCTTTGTGTTTATTTTGATTAGTACAACTTTACACCTTTTGCAGCATATATCAGAGTATTCTGCCTAGAAAAAACATGATCTGAGGAATGACCATCATCCCATGGCCTTCAAACATAGCTCATAACTGGCACTCCATGACTGCTACTTTAAATTGCTGCTGATCTTGACCTGCATGCAAAATAGTCTTTTCAGAGTTCTTGTGACCTACCTCCTAATATTGCACCTTCAAAATGAGGGTGAATAATTAGATTTAATAAAGTAT